AAGCAACTGATCAGGAAATAGACGATGCAAGAAGTTAATCGAAAAGTTCTTGGACTTGAACTTGCCATTGGCTTTGAGAAAGAAAATGTATGAACTAGGTTGATGATTCCTTAAACAAAGTAAATTTACATAAATGATTGAATGAAATTCAACAAAGCTCCTCATTCTAATTACTGGAAATGAGATGGAAGTTGGTGCCCACTTTTAAGCCTTAGAAAGCTAGAAGAGAATCTTTAAAGGGATAATTGGGGAGGTTTCTGTCAATTGCACTCACCTCCCCTAAGGTTTGAAAAATAGCACTAATCTCTCTTGAACTTAAGATTTTGATAGCAAGTTCAGCCCATACTAGAGAAAGTGCCATTAAAAAAGTCTTTTAAGAAGTGAGATAATTTTGTTCCGTTTGTACCCTTTTTGCCTCTTGTGATGTTGTATTAGTAAAAGAATGAAAAACATTAAGAGATAGAAATAATTAGTCAAACTTAGAGGATATATGTGCAAAGAGAACAAGATCAGTAGTAAAATCTACAAAAAGCAACAAACATATGTTCAAAAATCTGAGATTTAAAACATATAAAGAGACTGTTGATCAAGTAAAAAAAAAAATTCACCTTTGATCAGTACAAGAAAGTTTCTTATTGTTATACATTATAGTATACCGATCTCACACTATTTATCATATTTCGTACACAACTATGTTCTCTCATGATCGACACAACAATTTCATCATTCTATAACTAACACTACAACTTTGTGTATTAAGTTGAAATGATAAAGAATTTCTTACATATCATCTTCTGATTGCCACATATTTTTAACAAAAAAAATCCTCAGATTTTGCCTTGATTTCTGCTTTCTTTCTCCTTTTATTTCATGAATGCATATTATGAAATAAGTTCAACCAAAACCACTGAAACTTATTCTTTTATGAAGCCTTGTCTGGAGGTTTATTTTTCCTACATTTTTCTTGCTTTTGCTGCTTTTCTATGTAGAAAATATATGATTTTCATTGTCCTCTCAAGTATTGTCAATCACAAAATGACACCATATTAGAGCATCAATTGGCGCCATTTTGTAAGTGCACTTACAGTGCCTAATAAAGCAAAAAATAACCGTTAATCTTGTTTAATTAACTATTTTAGACTTGTTTATTGCCCTAATTTTTTTGCCCCAAATTTGTTTACTAATAACCTTAAACTCTTAGAGTATAGAAGTAAATTATCCTATTTTATGTCAACTATAGGTCCCCAATTCATGTTAGGGGAGGTTAGTGCTATTTTCCAAACCTTAGGGGAAATGAGTGCAACAGTTAGAAACCTCAACGGAGGTTTCTGCAATTATCCCTTCTTTAAATTGTCATTTTTCTATTTTTGAGAGTTGTGTCTTTCTTTGCCTTCTGCCCCAGCATTAATTGTTGAGAATCTCTTGAAGTGGTATCTACCAGCTGATTGTAACTGCTTCTTGTTGATTCTCCTATGTTCTACTAATTGTTACTTTTCCACTTGTCAAAAACCCTACACCAATTTGTTCATTAACCTTTAGAAAGTATCTTCAGAGATCCTCTAATCGGTGGACTTCGTTCAGCATGTCAACCATCTTTTGAGAGATGAACACTTGGTGATTGAGATGATTTTTCCTTCTAACATGCATTCCAAATCAGACACTTTGACAATGTCCCACTGACTCTGCCATTTCTATTCATCCCAATTTTTGCAGATGGCAAACTAAACTGAATTCATTGCTGAGCATGCCGTTGTTGAAAGAAAAATAACCAAGTTGATTGAAAACTAAAAAGAGCTGCGGATTGAAAACGTAAGAGAACTGATTGAAAGTGCACCCACATCTAACTCATCAAAGATTGCTGCATATCCTGCCTTGAACGAGTCAAGGACTTAAAATTATTGTACAGAAGTAACTGATAAACAAATGGATGATAGTTGATTGAAAGGTTCTTGGAATTGAACTTGTCATTGAATTTGAGAAAAATAAAATAAACTAGGCTGATGATTGCTTAAGCAAAGTAGATTTACACTAACGATTGAATAAAATTCAACAGAACTCTTAATTCTAATTGAGGCCTAATTCTAATTCCTAGAAAAGCTAGAGAGATATTCTTCAAATTTTCATTTTCTGTTTTTGAGAGTTTTGTCTTTTCTTTGCCTTCCGCATTAGTTGAGAATCTCTTCAAATAGTATCTGCCAGCTGATTGTAACAGCTTCTAGATGTTGATTCTCCTATTATCTACCACCTTCTAGGTATCACCACTCCGCTAGATCAACTACTGCTTCATCAGGTCAACCACTAGTTATTAGAAAATTGGATTAATTTCTTTTAGACAGGCTTTTTATTTTGTGTGAAAATAACTAGTTTTCTAATTAATTTCAGTTACTTGAAATTTCCTATTTTGTTTAGGATTTAGAATTTATTTCCTATTCTATATAAGTATAGGAATTAGCATTGGTTTCCTGTTATTATTTGATTTTTGACCAAATAATATTTTCTATAAATAGGTGGGTTAGCATATTACAAAAAGACATACATAAAGGTATGCAAGAGGCGACATGTAACCTTATACATAGGTAGTGAGAGAGGGTTCTTGGGAGATGAAAGATGGTATACAAGAGTTGGGTTTGAATTCAAGTTATATTTTTGTATAGAATTTTCCTCTCATAATAAAGAACGAATTTCTCTTCGTAGACATATGCTTATGGCTTGGTTCTCATTAAATTGTTGTATATTTGATATCTTAATAGTTATTTGTTTTGCGCTTGGATCCTAACAAACTGGTATCAGAGCGGGTTCATGGTAAAATCCTAATTGACTATTGAGATCAAGTAGGTTGGTGACTATTACCAATTGAACAATTTAAAGGGTTATAACTTTGTTTCAATAATTTGGTAAGAAGCATTGATGGTGAGAGATGGAAAACTGGAAAGTATAAAGATACTTGACGGTGAATCCATGCAGGTGATTCAAGAGTCAAGGAAAAGATGGAGTTCAATATTGATTTTGGACATGAATCGGTGGCGACTTTTTCACAACTCCAACTGTTGATATTTCATCCTGGATAGTTTTTAGATTCGGATTATATTCTTTAGGTGGTGTGACATCTGTTCTAAAGAAATAAAGAGATCTAATTTCTAAGTGCCTGAAGACTTGACAGTTACAAGTTTTTTTGTTTTAGGTCGAGTCTCGAAAACCACACATGGCAAAACAGTCTTGAGAATGAGAAGAGATATGGTAACTCTACCATGGCTAGAAATAAAGCTCACAAAAGGAGATCCCAAATTGCGAGTGGTGGTGAGAAGAAATTCTGGAAAGAGAGATGGTGGATTGAGACATCTTTTCACGAGTTAACAAGAGGTTAAACTCGGAGTAACTATACATGTCCATTTGCCAATTGAACTAATTGGATATCAGAACTGTTTTGATTCGGATGTGTAATTCGACACCATATTTTTTTGTAGTTGAAGGCAAATAATTGCTAAAAGAAATATTTGTCAAGGTGAAAATTTGTTACGAAATTGGTTTAATTTCTTTTAGGCAGGTTTTTTATTTTTTGTGAAAGTAACTAGTTTTCTAATTGGTTTTAATTACTTGAAATAGTAGTCAAGAAATTCCCTATTTTGTTTAGAATTTAAAAGTTATTTTCTATTCTGTACAAGTTTAGAAATTAACATTGGTTTCCTGCTATTATTTGATTTTGTCCAAACAAAATGTTTTCTATAAATAAATGGGTTAGCATACTACAAAAAAGCACTTATAATGGCACACAAGATGCGATATGTAACCTTATACATGGGTGGTGAGAGAGGGTTCTTGAGCTAAGGTATGCCATCACTTGCTATCAAGTTGATGTTTATACGGGATCATGCGTCTCCTATCTTACTGGAGAAAAGACTGAGCCAGGAAAAACATATTGCAATGAGGTGAGGAGCTTAATAGGGGCCGTGAAGACACCAGCAGACAGAAGTGATGCATGCAGGTGCGTTAAAGATACAGGAAATCACTTCCCTCATCACAAGGATGGTATCCAGTTGGTGTTGACGCAATCTTCTGGACTATCTCTGGCTCATTTATTATTTCAGCTCTTGGATTAGCCTGATTCACTTGAAATGACACTCTTGGTGTCTCAAAGGCTGGATTCACATAGGTCCTGAGGCCTTCATCTCAGGCGTCTGCACCTCATTAGCCCTGACCACTAGCTACCCTTTGTCTTTGGACTTCTGGGATGGTTGAAAACGCAGAGGTGAGAGGCAAAAGAATGGTGAAAGATGACTTCCATTCTTTAATTGAATGAATGAAAAATCAAGCAACGAAATATACAGATAATAAGCTATAACAAGTGAGGTGGCACAATATGGTTAGCCGTCAGTGTAAACAGGTTTCTACCGATAGTGTATAAAAGATTTACTCCTTGAGGATAAAAATACTTCTTTTGTTCTGCACTGCATTTCATAACTTTTACTAAAGAAGGCTACTATTCTGCTGCATTTAGTTCTTCTGTTCAAGAAACTCACCAGAGCTGACCAAACAGCAAATTGATTTTAACGTTTGGCTATGCTTTCAAGGTTGATTCGTTTAGCTTACAGGGCTTCCAGAGCTCAAAACGCAACATGAGCTTTTGGACAAGTCAGTTAATTATTTCTACTTATCTATATAACGAAACATACATCTGATAATCTTGACAACTACAGTTGCAACAAACTTCGCTACAAATTGTTTCGCCATAGTGCAAGGGGAAACAACGGAATTTATTATCGAAGCATGACCAGGTGGTAGTATGTAATTTCCTTTCTAACAGTAGTGCCATTGTGCCAAAAAGGAGGTTCAGGAGCTCATGTTCAAAAACATTTCCAAACAGCCAAGGAATTGTCAGATTGTATGGAATGCGACAATCGATTTACATGTAATGTTTGCAGAACAGGCATTGCAACTATACTCCACTTTCTTCCTACTCATTTTTCTGCCTAATCCATCCCAAACAAAAAAATATGTTGTAAATGAACCCCAAATTTCAGAAGATAATAGGGGACTTGCAGTTTCCAATTGGTGGGGCTGTCTTTTGCTTATCAGCAATGAATAGCTTCAGCAACTAGCCAGAAACATTAGCATTGCTGTTGGTACAAGTTATGGTGTCGGATACTTTGAACTAGCTTAAAAGATAAAGATTCCAGACCTGAAACATCAAATTAGCTAGTGAAACAATGCTTGGCTCTAGAGTCTGGATATCGAAATTCTCTATTTATTTATGTTAATTTTCCCAAAACAACACAGCTCATCTTTCTTCTGATGCTTGTTCTTACAAAGGAATAAAATATGTCCAGTACAGAACATTTATCGATCTATTTTTCAGAATTCGCAACATCAATTTAATGTGATATCAACTCAGTATTAGACTTCTGCATCCAACTCCAGCACAAGGTCATGGGGACCTAAAACAGAGGCCAGGGTGACACCTTTTCGTTGTGGGATTTGGCTAATTTTTTCCAACTCTTCCCCAGACAATGACCAATCAAAGATTTGGAGGTTCTGCTTCATTCTTTCCTTGTTGTAACTCTTTGTCACCAAACTCACCCCTTGTTCATACACCCACCTTAGTGCAACCTGCATTGCGTTTTTCCAACATATATTACAATTGGGATCACCAATATATAAAACAAGGACTCCATAGATCAAATCTAAATCATGCTATGTTCTAGAGGCGCAAATAATTAAGGTCAAAAGCTTGGGGAAACAAAAAACAGAGAGGAGTTGCCTAAGCATATGCAAAGACAATTGAACAGACTCAAAAAAAATGCAATTGAACTTATTGAAAGTTTGACTACTTCAATAGAAGAGACTAACTCGGTCAAGCAAGCAGCCAAAAACTCAATGCCCTTTTGTCCTAACAACTTTTGAGCTGGTTCTTTTCCAATTTTGAAGAATTTTGACCCTGTAAAACCAATATGATCTACCTACCTAACTTACATCTCTTTTTTTTTCCCCAAAAAAGGATCAACCTAACATCAAGAACAAATAAGAAAAGAAGGTAACAGGAAACCACGTAATTCAAAACAAAGTACATTAGACAGTCACATGCTTAATTTGGACGCCTGTTTAAATGCTTTTAATTGTTTATTTGGAAAATGAGGGTTAATCTACTGTTAAAATTTCTGGGAATTGGCTCTTTTTCGTTTCTGGTTTTTCTTTTATAAACCTGTTGGGAGTTGGGACACAGGTGCTGAACATTGGCAAAAGTCATAGTTCATTTATTGTTGATAATGGCAAAGAACCCATGAAAATGTTAAAGAAAAGAAAAGAAAGTAAAAGACCTGAGCAACCGTTTTCCCTCTAGACTTGGCTATCTCAGCTAGCACATCAGAGTCCATAACTCTGTTATCTCCCCATTTGGTGTTGTTGGCCCCCAAAGGAGAATAAGCAGTGATTTCGAAACCCTTTGCCTTGCAGAACTCCCTTAGCTCCTTTTGCTGCCAAGTTGGATTCAGTTCCACCTTTGATCACACAAGATACAGACCATCAGATCAACCCCACCATATACAAGAACAAAGGAATTAAAAAATAGAATTCAATTTCAAGAATTTTCATAAATCAGACTCACTTGATTAACTGCAGGAGGAATTGTAGCAACTGCGAGTACTTCCTCAAGTTTCTTGCAAGAGAAATTACTCACACCTATGCCCTTTGTTAGGCCAAGTTTTACGCATTCCTCCATGCCTTCCCATACCCCCTTCACATCCAGAGGCTTTATTGCATCTTTTTCGACCGGCATTGAACGGACCCTTCCAGTCAATCTCACAGGCCAATGTATCAGATACATGTCAATATAATCCAACTGAAGATTCCTGGAGAACACATACCAAAAAGAAAAAAAAAATCAAAAGGGGCAATAATTAGTCCAATCATCTTAACAGGACAACAAAAAAACCATTGCCAGCAGGGTTCGGCTGAGCTATTAAGGCTCGGATTTCGGCTCGGATTTCGACTCAGAATCAAGATTCGAATCTTGAAATGGGGTAACCTCCCTTTTTCATAAACTTCTTTTTATCATCAAAAAGATGATAAAATGATGAAAGCAGCGTATAAAAAAGGAAAAATAAGTTTGATGTTACTTACTGAAGGCTCATTTTACAGGCAGGAACAATCTGGTCACGTTCAGCAAAGCTGCTCCATAGTTTAGTGGTGATAAAAAGTTCATCCCTGGACATGATCAGGCCAAGTGTCAAAGCTTCAACTATTGCCTCACCAAGAGGCTTCTCAGAACCATAAGCAAACGCCGTGTCAAAGTGGCGGTAGCCAGCTTTAATGGCTTCGATGATCGCTGTTTTTGTAGTTTCCAGGTCCGCCGGAGGGAACGAGCAAGTTCCCATGCCAATAACTGGCATGGGTTTCTCACAACTGCTCAATGTTACCCCTGGTAATTTGGCCATATGTTCTTCTGTCTGTAACTTTCTCCAAATCCAATTTGTTGGTAGTTGAGAGTGTTTTGAGTACCGTTATATATATGAGTGTGTTGGGGGTCTTTTAACTAAAATTCTTTTCAGTGCTTTTTGTAGATTTGATTTGATTTTTGATGTTATATTTTGGCAGGATTCAGTCAAGTGAGAGACACTATGAGTGCCTGTTCCACTTTGCTGCTGGAGTTGAATATTGAGTGGTCAACTTGTTACCGCATTATTTAGTACTCAATTTTCTACGGGGAAGTCAATTTGGACCGTCTAGACGGCAATACAATATTGACCATCACAATTGGCATGGTTATTTGATAAAAGGATTCAAGGATGCCCCAAAAAAGAAACAAAAAAAAATTATCTCAGTCCACTGATCAAATTGAAGATGTTATATTACCTAGTGGATTTATAGTTTCAGAATTTGTAAAGGGAATTTTCTAATTTTTCCTTGTCCAAATTTCTATTTTAGGTAGACTCAACACTTGTGGGCTATATATACCATCGGTATATAAAAAATTAATTCATATACATATTTATATATATATATATATATATATATATATATATAGTTTTAGAATTTGTACAGGGAATCGTGTAATTTTTCCTTATCAAAAACTATTTTAGGTAGATTCAACACTTATGGACTATATATACTGTCAGTGTATAAAAAATTAATTCATATATATATATTTTCAAAATTTGTATAGGGAATTTTGTAATTTTCCCTCAAACTTTATTTTAGGTAGACTCAATACTTATGGGTTATATATAGCATAAAAAGTTAATCCATAAATATATATATACATAGGAAATTCAAAATGGCCCTATATTTTCTTGTTAAGTCATGAAGATGTTAGGCCATGTTCCAATTGTATTATTCATTTAGGAGAGGGTCTTGTTTAGTTCCCTAAGTGGACTCATTGGTTGTAATTTTTTTTTTTTTTGAGAGAGAAAGACTCAAGTTACTTGGCCGTAGTAATTTTTGTGGGATGACAATCCCACAATTTTAAGCATAAAAGGATTTTGAAAATAAACTTGTCACTATGTATATAAGTAAAGTTGTATGTGGTTATAATTAATTTAATTTCAGTTTCTTAACTTTTTTGTTAAATACTCAAGTTTTCGGCACATTAAAAGTTAAAACTCTAATGATTCCTCCAACTTTAGAATTCAAGCTTGCCAATTATTTCCTCTTCATTTATTCAGCCAAGGAAAATAGTAAAACGAATCATAGATTAAGGCATAGCCCAATTCAACACTTAAATTTAATGGATTCAGATTTTAACATATTTATACCGTTTCATAACCAAAAATTGAATATTTGAATTAATTAAGTGACACTAAATTTCTTAGGCAAAACTTACTTCCAAAATTAAGTGATAAGTTACTCACGTATCACTAAATGTGATAAACACTCAAATATATTATATTTAATACTTTACAATTCAATAACTTAATGGATTTAGACTTCAAATTTCATATTTTAGATTTCAATTTGATCAAACACACCTAAATTAAAAGAGCAAATAATTGGATTCATATAGAATAAAACGAAATTTCTAAACAGAAGCTATATAAACTCTGTCCAGGTGGTGTAGGAATGTAGCCAAAAACCTTTTTTTTTTTTTTTTTTTTATCCTCTCACTCAAATAGTGTCAGCACAGAATTCGAACCTGAACTAAGCCTGATTGGGACAAAAAAACGCATTGGAATTCATGAAGGTTGCAGATTTAGCTGTTCCACATTTGAATGGAAGCACAATCTGCATGTCCCTAAAAACGTGCTTTTGCAAGAAAGATGATGGCGAAACAGAAATGTTCAAGTTTGTGTTTCATGTTGCCTTGATTCATTGAATTCCCCAAATCCAGTTGCCTGACCAAAGTAATATTAATCAATTTAGTGGGCATTAGGTGTATTATTAATGTATGTATTTTCTTTTGGGCTCTTCTAGTTTATGCCTTAATCATGTAAAAGTGGGTTCGATTTTTTATAATTGATAACCAATTTAATTTTTAACCATAATTTTCGAAATTTGTACCGGGTCCTTCTCTATTTTTGGTGAAATTATTTTGTGCTCTAAATATGAAAAGAAATTCTTTTAATTCCATGTTGCATGGTAAAAAAGAGATTTTATAACCACTTTTTTTCTTTTTATTCCATGTTTTTTTTTTCCGGATAGAAAGAAACACACACACACTTAATTAGACTAAGCACGAGAGTTAACGGATAAACCGGCCCGATAAACAAGCAGTCGAAGGGAGACCCACAGAGCAATCCGATCTAGCCAATTGGTGATAGGACGGGCACCCCATGGACTTTAAACCTAGGATGAAGACCCTACGATCTTCCGATGTGGGATGGAAGCCCAACCCTCCGTGCACACCCTCACCAAATATGGATTGTTTTTTTTCCGGATAGAAAGAAACTTTTTATTCCATGTTGTAATGGCAAAAAAGGGTTTTCCTCACAAGTAGACCTAGCAATTGGGCGGGTTGGGCGGTTTTGGGCGGATTGATATTGGATTTTTATTTAAATGGGTTATACCCAATCCGCCCAACTTTAAATTGGGTTACTTTTGGGTTGGGTCATTTTGGGTTATCTCAAACCCATGACCCAAATATGACCCAATATATTAATTAATAAATTTTGATACATAAATTCTCTTAAATATATTTTTACATACAAAAAATTTTTAAAAGCAACAAGAAGAATACCTAATCACGAAAACATTCGAACAACCATGTTCATATGGCACATATTTAGAATTATCCATACAGGTTGTAGCTTCCAAATTAAAGCAATGAACGAAAAAGAAAAAATCTGTTGAACTGAGAACTGAAGCTGCCTAAATACTCAATATTTCAATCCTGGATTTTTGGAGATTAGAGAGAAGTACTCCTCGAGGCTTAGGAGCTCAAGATCACCAAACGTAAAAGGCTAAAAGTACATACGAAAATTACCCAAAAAGACATAGAATACGTACAAAATTGTTTGTAGGATAAAAGCAATTTGTCTAAGATCTAAATTTGCTAAAGCAAAGTTTTCACAACACTGACAATCTATCCAGGAGTTACTCCAATAGACAACATACAGGTGAATCCATTTACTACCCCTAACATACAGGTGCGAAGCTGGTGGTGGTGGAGGTTTATTTGTTTTTTAAGTTGGGTAATGGGTACCCAACTTAATTACCCAAACCCGTCCAAAATATGTATGGGTTTTTATTACTCAATCCAAAATTAACCCAACACCCAATTTACCCAACCCAACCCAATAAAGTTCACATTTAGGAGCTATTAATTGAAATAGATTACATATAAATATTGCTGAATCATTCCAAGTTTAGATATTCATTAATTTTTATGTGCTGAACAGGACCCAAAACAAATGAAGTAGAAAAGCAAAAAATAGAACAGACGCAAAGTCAAAGAAAATTGTGTAAAAAGGTTAAAGAAAGTCTCATATAAGAATTATAGATAGCAAGTGAATATACCTTCTATAGGAAACGATCCCTCTAAACCCAAATAACGGAGAGACAGCCTTTTAAGTTCAGTAATTGCAGTTATACATGGAATTATACTGTTGTTGAAGTTGTTATCATCGAGGTACAAAGATTCGAGATTTTGCAACTTAGCCCAATTCCTGCAGCCTGCAAAAGCACGAGTCAGATTCTAATAAACGGACTGAATACCAAAGAAACCCCTTTGGCTAATCCAATATACACATTTCCTCGTAATTTGAAAACATACAATTTAACCACAACTGGGTTTTGGATTATAGTGAAACTGTTAGTTTCCAAAGGGAGCTGATCTATTCCTTCTACCAAAAGAGGTTTTCGATATTTGACTCTAAATAAAATGATGTAAGATTTAAAATTTTTCTCACTTTTATACTTTCCACGTCGGCAAAGATATAAATGTTTGCTTTTCACAGTCTCCTCTAATCGGGACCCGAAAGAAGCCGCCATGGCTCGAACCTTAGTGGTCTTCCCAACTTTTCTGGGGCCATAAAAGTCGATTCTTGATTTGCTGCTGAGCTGGTGGTGAAGAAAGCGCAAGAATTGGGGATGTGAAAATGCGGGAGATTGTGAGGTTGAGAAGAAAAAGTGAGAAAGCTGAAGCCTCCTCGAGGAGGAGTAGTAATCAGATGAGACGCGCCAGCCATTGAAGCGACTGAAGCCCTCTGCTGGTGTTCTTCTTCTCCTCGTTCTTGATGCACTTTTCTGCTCGTAATTATTTCGCCAGTTTCACGGTCAGGTTCACTTTTAGTTTCCAAGCCATATCCCACATCGTCTTCCTCTAAGAAGGACTAGATTTATTAATTAATTACTAAAGTCACGTGGGCTTGTAACCAAACGGGCCATTGAAGTGACTGAATAGAGGAGGCGAGGGTTCTAGGGGCACTTGGGCCCTTTAGCCCGTTACTCCACGCTCCCAAACCCGCAGCTTACTATGAACTGGGTCAGCACCTGCTACACTGAATCCCAGTCTTGGAATGGGCCGAGTGTAAACCTTCAATGATTGGATGTGCAGGCTTCTACTAAACTATCACTTTGCATTCTCCCAAAGCACTAAAGAGAGAGCATCTATTAGTCCAAAACTTATTTGTTTGTATCATAATTATATATATCTTTGAACATATTTTTTATTTTTTTTATCTCACATGTATTACAACACAAAAAATATTAAAGGAATTATTTCAAACAATATTCTAAAAAATCTACCTTCCACCCCTTATCTTCAGTTCAATAAAGATTTGAAACCTTATAAATAGTAATATCAAATGTATAGCCCAAAAAAAAAAAAAAAATCACTTCATCTAAGAAAAAATGTGCAAAACCACTAAGGTTCGAGCCATGACGGGTTCTTTCGGTCCGATTAGAGACTGTGAAAACGACTCTCACCGAAAACCAGTTGTGGTTTAACTTTGAAAACAAAAACGAAATTGAAAACAAATTTGTAACCGGTCACCCATTGAATAGAAAACTATTTGATAAATAAATAAGACACACTATCAAAAAACTTGGTTGCTAATTGACTAAAAGAAAATGATGGTAAGAAGCGAGAGTAATTCAAATTCAAAAAATAAAAAGTATACTTTGTAATGCAATATCTTAGTCTCTTCTCTTGATCCATTCACTTTTTTCCACATAAATTGCCTGTTTTTTTCTTAGAGACATCAATTTACTCGTGTATACATTCCTTAATTATTGCTCCTAATCCATCACGATAGGTTGATGTTTTATGACTGTATGATCTATTTTTTTAATTGCTATTTTTTCTTGACTTCTTTCAATTTATGATATATTAATTCTTGTTGTTTTGAAGGGGTGCAAATGACTAACTCACAGCTAAAATTTAATGCAAAATAGTTTCCTGCTTTATTAAACTATAGTCAGTTTTGAGTCTTCTACAATTATAATACATGAGAAATTAAAAGAAATAAGGCTGAGAAAAAAAGATGAAGAAATATGAAAAACTTGCCTCAAACTGCGGACAAGAACACCAAAAGTAAGGCTAGAACGAAAAAGGAAAAGATGATGAAGGAAGCTGAATTACTTGCCTGTGTAATCAAGGTTCTAAATGGCCAATCATTCGATATAAGCTTAGCAAAATCAAAACATATACAAGATTAAATTTTATATTTTACTCTGGAAAATTAGTAAATTACAAAGTACAAAGAAGGAAAAGATTCAACATGGTGTATGTGGTTTAGGCCAAGATTCAATTATTGTTGGGGAAAATTAAAGGATTTTCTTGCGGTGATGAAGAATGGGATGATTGGTTGAGAGGTGATTCAAAGAATGAATTAACGATGAAAAAAGTTTAAGAACTAAACCCTTGGTATTCTATGGTTGACCAACTTTGACTAATACAAAGAACTAAACCCTTTAATCACTCGTCGAGCCAAACCATTCATTGTTCACACTAACATCTCAAAACTCAAAAAGTTTGCCTCCTTGTGTTGTTGGAAAAATTTATATAACAACATAATGTAAAAAGTAGGTTTTGATGCAAATAATCCAGGAAATTATGCAAAAAGTATGTTGCTGTCGGGTAAAATAATTTTCCTCCAAGATTAACAAAGTCAATCTAATCATTAGGAGCATAAAGATCCCTCCAATTGGATTGGATTGGTACGAACTAAGATGTATGAATTTTCATTTTCTTGTAGCTTTGCAATCAATATGGGATTCTCAAGCAATACATCACTAACTACACTTACTATATCTAACATTTGTACCACGTCAAGTTTAAATATATCAACCTTCAAAAAAATCTTCTTAAATATTGTGCGATAACTCTTTCATGAGATGGTGAGAATATCAATATAGTAGATACCAAGAACAAGAAACTTCAAATTATACAATATAAACGACTACAACACTAAAGAAAACCAACGATTTGAGAAAAAGATATTACCTGTCACTTCACTATTGAAGTCATTACCACTCAGGTCTAGAGCTCGCAGGTCCTTCAGAGGTATGAAAGTGCTAATGTTTACATACCAATCGGTCCAATCCTCATAGATATTCTCTGGCAAATAACTAAGGTGGAGTTCAACAATTCTCCCAGTAATATTACTACACTTGACCCGTTCCCAGGTGCAGCAATCATCATTTGCTCCATCACCTTCTTTTCCAGTCCACGAAGAAAGGATAAGATGAGCATTTGTAGTCACATTTAAGGAAGCTTTGAAGTCCAAGAGAGCATGTTTTTCTTCTGAAAAGCAACCTGAGCAAAGTTGCCTTCCATTGAGTATTATTGATACAGCAAGAGCCCATGAGGCAATCAGAATGGAATGACCGCGCATGATTTCAGTATGGAGAATTAGTGATGGAAAGTGTTGTACTGAAAATGGAAGGCAGGATAATTTATAATCCTGTATTCCTTCTAGTTGCGTATCCTCAACGAGTCAACTCAGGTTTAAGTCTTTAAAGTTGCATGCTCCAAAAAAAAAAAAGTCTTTAAAGTTGCAAAAAAAGCCTGGTCAGTGGAACTTAATTTGGCCCGCTTTAGTGGAGTAGACATTGACTTTTTTTTTTAATCGTAACGATAGTATTTGTATAATCTATTTTAGCCTAATTTAGGGGAAAGGAAGCCTAACCAACGGGAACCCACAAGCCTCTCTCAATTGTCATCGATAGAAAAAATTTTTAAAAGAATAGTCCAGTGAGTCTGACTTAAATGTTCAAATCGGTGGCTGTAATAGCTCGAACTTAAAGTATGTTTCAAGACTGGTCCATGGCACGAAAACAAATAAATTATCAAATACCAAATTTGATAATTTTAATGATTAAAAAAAATTAGAACATTCTGTTTAATGATTAAAAATATTCAGTCGAATTTCAGTACACTTAAAGGAAATATGACTACTCGTATTGGTCAGGCAAATGTTTTGGCTAGCTAAACTGAATGAGGCGATTACTGGTAAGTGCACCTGTGTTTTCTTGGTGGCTGCTTCCTAGTATTTGACTCATTGTTTTCATCTATCAAGTTAATGTGCATGATTTTGATTCATTAAGGGATTCTTCTATTATATTTTATTGACTAGAATTTTATGCTGAAATTTCAGCAGGAATGAAATGTGATGCCTTTGTTGTCCTTTGAAATTAGCATGCAAATGACGCAAAAATGTGACGCGAGATGGATTTTGGGATAAAAGAAAGTTTATTTTGAATGGAAGACACTCCAATTGTATCGTTGCGAAAATAGGAGATTAATAAAAAACACGTAATTGTTCCAATTGAAAAATTAACATAAGCAAAATGACCGAGAATAATCCATTACTTTCTCACGGACTAAACTTAGAAGAGATATTGGAGACATAGAATTATCCACCCCTTGTGATAAAATATGACATTTCGTCGATTTTTCTTTAGAGTCACAATCAGTGATGTAGCAAATGCTATGTCCCACAGAAATATTACATAATTCACTAGTTTTTACCAAAAAAAAAGAAAAACATTTTGTTTGGATAGAGTGTTATTTGAAATAATTACTGTAGTACTTTTTGTGATGTGATGTGTGTGAAATAAAAAGATGATTCGAAATATAAAAAAGTGAGTTGAAAAATATATTTATGATGCAAGCGAAATATTATTTGAAATAACATAGTATCTAAATAAACCTAAAACTGGTTGAATAAGTCTTATTTGGCTTAAAAAAAGTCTTATTTGACTAATTCATCGTTTGGGGGTCTTACAAGTTACAACTTGACCAATGATACTCCCATGTTCATGGTTGGAAATGTGCCAACAAAATCCAGAATTAGCTATAGAGGTTTTTCCACATTCATGAAAGCAACGCCACGGATTAACTCATTTATTATCATGGTCCTTATATTGCGTTATTATTTTGAGTGCATTTATAGTTGTTGCTGTTTTTCGTGTTTTTTTTTTATAAGAAATTTCTATTTTGGTCAATTTTTTTTTTATTTGTCAACATGATAAATTCTATATTATAATTACTCCTACTCTACACGATGGGGAGAGCGACCTAAAGAGGTCGAGGAGAACCCGGTGAATCACAATGGTCCAGACGGGTGCCTACGCACTGGATGACTAAATATTTTTAGATAAGTGTGGATATTAGAATGCAGGCTAAAAGATTTGATCCTTTGATCGATACCCAAGTACAGCTTTAAAGCTCTATTTCAGTCAATTTGGGCTGTGGAAATTGAAATGAAGTGCAAAGTCATCAAAATTGGAATGCAGACTATGGGGACCAGGAATTAAAAGAAAGATGGTAGCATAGTAGCGTACCTTACACTTTACTTTGGAAGAAATTGTGACTCCAAGTCCAGAGTATGAAGGATATTACTTTGGAAGAAATTACTTTGGCCTTAAATCCTGCAAGTGTGAAGGATATTTTTTGTCCTACTACTTGTTCAATATATTACTCAGAGTGTTATATTCTAAGGTGCTGATTAAAAGATTAAAGGTGGTATATATGCAGTGGGGGCATAAATGTTTGCTAATCTCCATTCTCCAAGACAGGGAGAAGATTCAACCTGTATATATGCAAAGTGCTTTTGTTTGCTAATCTCTTTTCCTATCTGCCCATTTTAGAACCAGGATTTTGGTTGCACCGGTAATTTCTTTTTTTTTTTGGTACAATTTTTGGTGCATAGAGAAGCAGCTATAGAGGTTTCTACATCATATTTATTCAAAGTCCTTATGTTGCATCAATAATTTCGAGTGAATTTATTGTTGTTTGATAAGAAATTTCTTGTTGAGTCAATCTGGCCTACAAAAAATGACTCCTTGATTTAGTGCTAGACCGTC